AAAAAGGTCTGAATGGGTGAACTTTGTATTGATTTCAGTGCATTACTAAGATAAATTGAAAAACGTTAGTGAGCATCTAAAACCTGAGTGTCAGAAAATAATCTGGAGCAGGAATCAACATCTCAAAGTGGTAACCATATTTCTACTTGCAGGAATGGATTCCGTGAGGGAACCACACCGAAGCCCAAGAGAGCAGCTGTTGCAGCCTCCAGTTCATCTTAAAGACTCATCTATTTGTTAAAATAAATGGTCTTAATCAGAAAATATGTCACCTTTTTTTACATCACTGAAATGTAGTATTCATGCACAAAAATACATAAATACTTAAAACCACAAATTTTGAACTGATTAATTTAAAACAATCCTTTGTTGAGTCTTCATTTGGTAGTACCTTTGTCTTGAAAACTGAACTGAAAAAGAGGCTTGTATGTATTACTCAAAGGAGGTCTCCAGCTGGAGAAGTGGAATATTGGTACTGTGGATTTGCCCTGTGTGCCTCTGATCTCAGTGTGCCATAGCACAGAGAGCCAGAACTTTGTTTTGAAGATAGTAGCTATAATAATAGCTCAATGTGCTGTCTTGGGAGGCATTTGTGAAAGAGGAATTTCCAATACTGTTCTTTTTTTCACTGCTCTGTGATACTCGAAAACCTGCAAAGGTAGTACTGTGGATCATTGCTTCTTGGGCAAAAAGAAACTCCCAAGCCTGGAGCTTGTGTACTGCAGATACAGGGGGATTGGAGAGCTGTGGGTGGAACAAAATTGCCTGAGTGGCATGGGCTTGGTGTGGAAAGCTGACACACAGATCATTGCTTCTTGGGCAAAAAGAAACTCCCAAGCCTGGAGCTTGTGTACTGCAGATACAGGGGGATTGGGGAGCTGTGGGTGGAACAAAATTGTGTGAGTGGCATGGGGTTGGAAAGCTGACACACAAATCTGAGTTGACTTTGTTGTGTGTAATTAATAAATACCACACTAAGTCAGTTGGAGCTACATAAAAATTATAGATAAATTAATTTGTACCTTATAATGTGTGTTTCTGGCATTTGAACTTGTGACACACAGATCTGAGTTGACTTTGTTGTGTGTAATTAATAAATACCACACAGTAAGTCAGTTGGAGCTACATAAAAATGATAAATTAATTTGTACCGTATAATGTGTGTTCCTGGCATTTGAATTTTCACTAAGTGATTATAAAGTCACTGTTAAGAAAGTTTGAGGAGTTGCAGTAGTTACTGTGAGGGTTTACAGGACTTCAAGATTGCCTTGCAAAGACAATACTAGAAACTTAAAAACTTGTGATGCTTTAAGTTTCTGATGTCCTGGCTGATTGCAGGGCAGGTTGGATTAGAGGATCTTTGCAGGTGCCTTCCAACCCAAACCATTCTGTGATTGGGTGATTTCTGCAGTGTCTTCAACTTAGAAGCTAGAAATAGCAGAAGAGAGAGAAGCCTAGAGCTGGGCAAAACATACACTTTTAGGGGGAAGAGAGGGAAAGTGTAAATAGTACTGGGTGTTTGTGGAAGAAATGGGCTGTACATTCAGCAGTAATGTAGAGCCAGGAGTCAAAGAGAAAAGGGCAAGAAGCATGTGCCTGTTTGTGAAGTGCACCAAGGATGCAAAGTCTTAATGCCAGCTACTAGAAACAACCCGCAGTAACATTCCCCCTTTCATATTGTTAGTAAAGCTGAGAATGTTTTCTGTTTTGTTTCAATCCTTCGTTTTCTTCTGTAATTATTACATCATCTACCACTCCTGGTCTCCTTGCTGGCCCTGAACTGTACGGGGGCCTGATGGCATTGCAGTGTCTGGGCAGACATGCGTCAGGAAAGCCTTGCTGCATCCCTGAAACGCAGCCCTGGCTCCCTGTGTGTCACAAAGGGCACGCAGGCCGGGTCTCCACACTGGTGGCACTTGTAACACCCTGGCTAACACAGTGCTGGGGGTGTTTTTACAGAGTAGCAGCTCTATTTATGCTAGAGGAACCCTGAGTCTTCCCATATATGGGAATAAATTATTGAAAATATAGAAACAATTTACATTTAAAAGAAATAAACTGTACTAGGGTAACTTAGCAACAATTTTCTGTCTCAAAATAAGATTATTGGAGATAATTGACACAAATAATTAAGTCAGCTTTGAGTTAATTTTTTGTTTTAAAATTCTGTCTTAAAAGTAGAGGCATGCCCAATGTGAATAAACAAAGAGAAAAAGTGTTTTTAAAGTAGTGCACGGGCTTTTGAAGATAAATAGTGGAATGGAGAGATTAGCAGAAAGTAAGTTGGCCTCAAAGACTCATGGAGGAATTCCTCAGGTATGTTTTGTTCCTACAGCTATTCTAAGAGGGCAACCTGCACCCCACACGCTAACAATACATTATTCAAAGTTGTGCTGTTGGCCAAAAAAGCCCAATCTTCTAATATGACTAACATGGAAAAGGTGAGAGAGGAAGCAATGCTGCTGATCAGTATTGTAAAGTGTTTATCACTACCTTTCACACTAAGTAAAGTTCAAATAGTTGTGTAGGTTCATATGTATTGTACATAAGTATCAAATATTAAAATATTAATTCATTGTGATCTTACTATGAGGTTTGGCCTAGATTATACTTGATTTGACTCAGCCTGGGAGACTTTATCTATTGTAGATTTTATGCTTTAATTCTTTTATTAAAAGCAATTTAATGCTCAAGGTGTGATAAAGAACTCTGAGTAAAATTGAATACAGTGATATAAGCATAAAAGTTGCAGTACAAATGGACAAAATATTTTGGTAATACTCACTTTTGTCTGCAAATAGAAAAATAATGAATGGCTTCTGCAGTCTAGTTCCTGTCTGACTTTAACAGCTCATTTATTTTCATTTTCTAAAATGTTCTGGTATCTAAGAGATTACTTAGTAATTAATGAGATGATATAATTTTCTTGTATAGACCTGTAGAACTTTTTGAATTCTCATTGTGTTGTCATGATCAGGACAACAGCTTGAGTTAAAGCCAAAAATAGCTTACAATAATTTATTATCAAGACACTAACAAGATCTGCAGACATCCCAAATAATTTTTCCCTCTTCAGCTAGCTATAGCTTAATCCATTTTTTTCCCCAGTGTGATATTCAACACATAATTTTCTCCTCATACTACAATGAATGTTTCCAAAAGGTTAAAGTAATGCTTTTTGCATTGCACAAGAGAACTTGCCAATTTTTTCTTTTCCTGATGTTAGATTGCAATCCAATCCCACCCTGAAATTTGATAGCCTGACAATAAATATGTTTCCCCAAAATCTCAGATCATGAACTATGCTAGTTTGTATATTCTGATTTGTGTGTGTGTTTACTGCTTGAGATGTACAAGATTTTATAACCAAAGATCTAGCATCAGGCCAAATACTTTTTATAATTACACTTCAAAGCTTGTACAATTCTATTGTAGTGTAGTGTAATGTTACCATTGTAATATAGCAGGATGCCCTAAGTTGGGTAAAACTGCTCAAACTTTAGCAGTTTGTTAGCAACAGTTATCAATGCTTGAGATGTACAAGATTTTATAACCAAAGATCTAGCATCAGGCCAAATACTTTTTATAATTACACTTCAAAGCTTGTACAATTCTATTGTAGTGTAGTGTAATGTTACCATTGTAATATAGCAGGATGCTCTAAGTTTAGCAGTTTGTTAGCAACAGTTATCAGAGGTGGGTGTCACACTGCTTTTGATGTTGAAGAATGCTGAGACCACCCTGACTCAACTATTCAAAGTTAAACATCCTGAGGATGTGAAAAACAATATTTCCTGAGAGAAATTTGCACTGATGAGGATGTGGCCAAGTTCCTGAGAAAGGAACCCACAAATGATGATGCAGATAACTGAAGTAAAGCTGCTGAGCTAAAGGCTGATGAGCTGACACAGCGACCTAGAAACACCTGGCTGACGATCACTTTATATATGTGGTTTGTATACTGTATGTGGTTGTATACTTCAGTCCCATTTTTTAATGGACACACTTCTGACACATCCCTTCCCTTTCCAGAGTGAGGGTATGAGGATTTCTCCCTTGAGTGGGAACACCCCTCAAGGTTACTTCCCTATGGAATTTTTTATGCCATTACCATAGAGGAGTTTCTTAAATATATATTTTTTCTGCATAGACCTGAATTTCTGGTTTCCAACTGCTAAATTAGTGACTATAGCATAAGTAATATTGAAGGCTCTCTGAATTGGGTTTAGGACCAGTACTAGAATAAAATTGTCCCAACTTTCTTGCTGTCTGATGTATTTATCTATTTGCAAACACATTCAGGGGCTGCGTGTAGGGTAGGCAAGAGGAACTATTTTAGATTTAATCATTCACTTAGTCTGGATTAGGGAAAGGAAGACATGGGAGTTGCCTATAACCTTCCTCTTCAGTCTACAATCTCTCCATTTGGAAATACCCATCCAATAGTCACTTCTACAGGTTTACGTATTTCTTTAAATGCAGAGTTGGAATGTGAATAAAAAATTAATCCACTTATAGTGAACATAAAAAGAAGTAGGGTCTTCGGTGTATAGAAAACATGCAATGCATGGAATGGAAAGCAAGTTAGTGGCTTAAATACAATGTAAATGAGCGGCGTGAGTTGGTAAGGCAAGCCAGGGGGCAGGATACATAGTCAAGGTAGTTGGAGAAGACTCCTACTTTTCTTCGTATTCCTGATAGGGTCTGGATGTGACAAGAGGAACTGAGGAGAACAAACGGATTTAATTTACAAGGTTATTGGAAATACAAGTTTCGGAGGTCCGTTTTATGAGGGTGGCCTCGCTGCAAAGGTGCCCCCCCTGAGAAGCAGTCCCGGACGCGCCGCCATCTTCCCGCGCCGCAGCTAGGCAGAGCCCGTTCTCCCCCGGGCGCCCGTGGGCCAGCCCGGCCTCCCCCGCGAGCCGCAATGGTTCGTCCTGGGGCAGGGCGGACAGGTGGTCAGTGCGCCGTTCGCTTCCGGGTTCGGGTGCGGGCGGGCGCTCTGTGGTTGCTCCTCCCCGCCGGCGCTCTGGCCCGGCGCGGGCGGGCGCTATGCGCAGGCTCGGCCCTTGCCTCAAGATGGCGGCGGTGGCGGATAAACAGAAGCACGAGCACGGGCGGGTGAAGATCGGGCACTACATCCTGGGCGACACGCTGGGCGTCGGCACCTTCGGGAAAGTCAAGGGTGAGCGGGGCCGCGGGGCGATCGGCTGCCCGTCAGCTCCGAGCGGGGCGTGCACGGGCTGGGACTTGCGGTCCCGCTGCGGGAAGCGGCGGCTGGGGCAGGAGCAGCTTCCTCCTGTGTGCTTGCGGAAACAACCGCTGGGAGCGAAATGCTGCGGCTGCTTGGAACAACACCGGGCGCGTAACCAAAGCAGGGAGTCTGAATCCTCCAGCTTCGCATGTTGCATTTTGATGCTCAAGTACGAGCTCTCGACGCCCTTGTAAGGAAGGCAAGATTTCTCTCTCTACAGAGAAATAAGCGTAAAAAGATGGGTCTGGGGCTGTTGGACTAGTTGGTAACCCAGCTGATGTGTAGATACGGAAAAACTTAATGTTTAATCTGCTTGACCAATGCTTAGCAAAGTTTGGTTTTTTTTTTTTTTGTTTTTTTTTTTTTTTTTCCTTTTCAGCTCGCATTTAAAAAATTTTCCAGTAGGGCTATGCATGCCTTACGGCTTGTTTGAAGGCTAGTAGAAATAAGATAGAATTTAAACTTCCCCATAGTACCATTCACCTCAGATGGCAGGACTATGCATTAGTTTACACTGTTCCTGCCGCGTTGTTTGTGAGAGCTTCAAATATGGGGGCAAGCAAATCAAAAACATCCTTTCTCAAATGAGTAGAAGTAGGCTTAGGCTGTATTCTCCATAAGAGTTGTGGTGGTTTTTTTTGTTTTGTTTTTGTTTTTTTTTTGGGGGGGGGGGGGGGCTTGGTGGTTTTTTTGGGTTTTTTTTTCTTTTTTTTGTTAACTTAATAGGTGCTAAAAAACTCAGCTTTTCCCCCCCAGTGTAGATAATCTATTGTATGTGCTCTGCACAAGCTTTTTTAGCTATTGACATGTACTGAAAAAAATTAATTATGTATAGTAAATAGGATGATATTTTGCTCTAGGAAAGCAGTAAAAAATATTTGGAAAGCACAGCCCTTCAAGTCTCTTTTTCAAGAGAAGCTTATAAAGAGACAGCTGCAGCCATTTGGGATCAATGCCCCCCTGCCCCCTGCCACCCCATCTGGCAGCTGGGGTACCATTTTTTAAAAGTGGGAACTTTTATGTGGTTACTTCCTTGAGGAGAGAGAGAAAAAAAAAAACGTAATGCAGCAGACAAGCACAGGGTTCTCTTTCCTCATGGAAGGACTGCCTGCTTGAGGGGAGGGGACAAAGCTGTGTTTGTTCTGTGGTTTTTTACCCAGCACACTGCAGAAGACTAGGGTTGACATACCATCAATGTTCTAGTACTGAGAGAGTACTAGGAGAGCACTGTTGCAGTACTGCCTTTCTTGTCCCCATATGATGTACTGTGTTACTTTTGTCTTGCTTCAGCTGTGCTTAATAATGAACATTTTATCTATGATGCAATGATTTTCCTCTTGACCACACATTTTCTTCATTTAATACCAGATCTGCAGTTGTTTTCCTGTTTTCATAATTTCCTTCTCTGGTGATACGGTTTCATGAATTGACATAAGGTGAAAATCATGTGTTCACTTCTTAAAATTCAATTAGGTTATACCTTGAGCTCATGTAGGGGGTCAGGCTCAGTGAATGTTTTGTTCTAACAGTGGTGGCAGCCTGGAAAAATAGGACTGGAAAATCAGTGTTTTATTTGGTAATTGTGAAAGCTCTCGTGCTGTCACTTTCAGATGAATTCACGCTGCTGGTAGCTGTCACTGGTGTGATTCTGTCCAGTTCATCATTTTCACCTGGCTGTGCCACTCTGAATGAATTCTGAGTGACTTGGTTTACTTGCCTGTGCCTCAGATGGGCAATCGCAGAAATGGCTGTTCCTAGCTATCGTCTAGACAAAGCTAAAATGCCACTAAAGTGAAAAGCTGAGGTGGAAGAATACTGAATGTATGAGGCACATTCATGTTCAGACTTCACTAGGATTCAGTGTAAAACATCTATCCCTATTTCCATCAACTTTTTTAAGCACTGCTGATGTTTTCTGCTGAAACTAGATGCAAACTTATTTCCTGATACTTTTTTTTTTTAAAGTTACCTTTCATAAAAGGAGGAGTACTCGGGCTTCCAGTGGTCCATACTGAGAATATAAGGGCTGTTACTTAAGGCTCTAAATATACAATAATTGTTCCAGCAAAGCTAAAATGCCACTAAAGTGAAAAGCTGAGGTGGAAGAATACTGAATCTAAACCAATTGTATGAGGCACATTCATGTTCAGTTCAGTTCATGTACTCTCTAGAGTATCAACACTGTTCTGTATAGACAGCAAGTGGTCTGGCTCAAGGCAGCAATAAAACACCTGGAAATGAACAGTGCAGGTCAGTATGGTATCTAATGTTGTGCAGCAAGGTGGCTTTGCACAGCATGAACTATTGTTGTTTAGGGTTTTTTCCCATGTTAGTGAAAACATGTTTAGCTCATACTCTTAAAGAATGCTTCCCTCTGAGCTTTGGATTGGCTTTTTGGCCTGCTGCAAATTGTTTTATTAAATACAATTTAGCCTTCAGATTATTTTTTTTTCTCTAAAAACTTAATGACTGGTGTATTTCATGAGTATGTTGTATTTGGTCGACATGGCCTCAAAGTCAGTTTTTTTCCAACTGAAGAACTGTTGAGCAAGATAGAAACTCTTCTTCCTGAACTTCTACAGTTAATAATAAGTCACTGCTGCTTTGAGACTTTGTCACTGTCATGAAAATCTTGATGCTATACAAAGCCACAATGAAGTTGGAAGGTAATTAGTATTATCAGAAAAAAAAGAAATATAGGAATATACTAGGTCTGTTAATTTTTTTTGCATAGCTTGTTTTGAAGGGCTGATAGCTGGTTTGAGGATTAGGAAGATTTAATGTATGAAACTTATATCAAGTGGTAATGCAAAATAGATTTCAGGAAGGTAACACTGGCTGCTTACGTTTCTAGGTGATGTTATCATCTGTTGTGAAGCTTTCATGTCTATCCTAATGTTGAATTCAAAAGTGTCAGCAGTCTGTTACCAGTTGGTATCTGCTGTTTTACTGGTAACAGATACCTTGAACTGTATCCAGGAAAGGCTACTTGTATCTTAAAAGGCTAGATTTGTTATAATTTCAAATTGAATTGCAGCAAGCCGAACCTTTCTGAAAAATCTAGAGATTGAATTTGAAATGTCTTAAACAAGAGAATAGGCTTTTTGGGATCTCTCTGCACCGGCATCGAACCATAGTATGTTTTCATTACAATAATTTATTCAGGGCTGGTGAAATTGAAGAAGCAGAAAATCTCGTTTTCTCCCAGTCAGTGAATAAAATTAAGGCTTAAGGCTCACAGCCTTGATGGCTGTGAGAGCTAGAGTTGGTTTCAGTCAACTGCAAATGTTACTGTTTAATTATTTTGAAAGAAAATTGTTTTGAAAAGCTCTTTTATGTGCCTTGCATATTGAGCATAGATTGTAGGTAATGAATTACTTTAAAATGTTTTTTTGAGTGCTAATGGAATTCCAGTCTTTCATTTCTAACAAATCAGAAATGAAACAAAGTGGCTTAAAAATGAGATTTTATAACCCAGTGCATATCAGAACTGTCTATTTATACCTAAGCTTTAGACTTGGTCAAATATGTATGTTACTTACTGTATTAAACGCCGTCTTAAATTTATTTTGTACAGCAAAAGAAGATGGCGGATTTATGTGTTTGACCAAAAGATTTTTGCTTTTTTTCTAAGAAGTTGTTTCTTACTAACAAAAACAAATGTTACATTTTAACTTACTCACTGAAGTTGTGAGGGTGTTTTTTGTTTGTTTGTTTGGTTGGTTTTAGGTTTTTTTTCCCAAATAATCCTGATGTACATCAGTTTCCATTATGGATGGGTAAAGACTTTACAATTAGAATAGTTGCTTTTCTAGTTTCTATCATTTTTTATGATGATTCTGTACTCCTGAGGGTTTGAATGTAGGTGAAATAGTTTGTTTGGCTCCTTTAAACTGCAGTCACGTTTGAACAAAATAAAGGGAATGTGATTGCTTTGATTGTAGGTCTGGTTCAAAGCAAATAATTCTCATACATTTCTAGGCACTCACCTGCCACTGCTTTGTGGTCTGGAGAACTTGCTATGGATTCCAGCTTTGTCCTGCATTCCTCAGTGGTGCAAATATGCCTGCCCAGTACTTTGTTTATTGTGGCCATTGTTAGATAATGGCCCCTCTGAATTAGGGGATGTCTTTTCATCCTAGCCAGAGCTCTTTTGTTTTTTCATGTGCTGACCATATCTCAGTGCAGTGTTGTGATGTTTCTGGATCTTGGGTAATCCACTGCTTAGTTGCCTACAGGAATTCAGGCTGCTTAATTTTATAGGTAGCTGTCTTGTAACAAAAAGCATGCAGATGCTTATCATTATCTTCTGCCTCTCTGCTAAGAACTTCTCACTTGCACTGGTATTCAGCTCGATATAGAGGCAGAAGATAGCAGAAAGGTGTTTTGTGCTGGAATGAGATTTACAGATTGATGGGTGTTTGTTTATTCTATCCAGATCATCTGTTCAATGCAGAAAGATTTTTGTGGATCACTACTGCTTAATCACAGCTTGCCATGGATGTGTTTAAATAAAACTTGAAGCTCAAGGCTTACTTAAATTCTCAAGTGAGGGTAGTCACCCAAATGAGTGAGTATTGTGTTCAGCACAGTTCAGTTGCAAATGTCTATTCATGTGGACAAGGATGAGCCATGCATGTGTCTGGAGAATCTGGCTTATCTTCAGAAGGTAGAAGTCAGGGTAGCAAATTAATGGTATTATTAAAAGCACTGCTTGTGGCAGCCATGCAGATAGGGAAGCCTTCTAGTAAAAGAGATACCTAGCTTCTTGGTGTTCCATCTGTGTTTTGGGTTTAAGAAATATATTCTGATGGATTTTGCTGTGACTACTCCCAGTAGCACTTGCAAATTTAAGGTCTTTAAGAGAGGTAACTTACTGTGAAATAGTTTATACTTTTTAGTTCCTCTGTTTAAAGAACAGTGAAATTGTCCTCAGTTCCTTTTCCACTTCTAGGAACACATTAGGTTGCATGTTTGCATTGTTTTTCCTTGTTTCTGTTCTATTTTTTGTGCATTTCTCATTGCATTTGCCACTTATTTAAATAGAATAAAGCTCTGGTGTTAACTGCACAGAATGTGGAGCTGCCAGACTGCTCCAAGGACAGATACATTTTTATAAGTAAACTGATCAGGTACTTACACTCATAATTCTGAGCAACTGCTGAAGCAGGCTTCTTGGGGGAGTGATAGGAGTGATTGCAGATGAAGTAGAAGAGGTACAGGAAAACATGTTTGAGTGCATTGCCAAGCAAGCCAAAAGCTTGGAATGACTTACACAGTGAGTGGGAATGCTCTCTCTAATTAGCAAGGATAGCAGGCTTTGGGAATATGGTTTGCTTTTTTCTTTTTTTTTTTAACACACTATTGCAAAAATGTTATGCTGCAAGACTTCTCCTGGTTAGTTTTAAGGAATTTCTTATGTGTATGCATCTTCTAATGATAGAATTGTGGGAGAAATTGGAGTAGGGCTGAAGAAATTCCATATCATCTGGTTTTCAACCTCCCAAAAGATCATGGGGATATGTGGAATGCTAGTGTCTTTACTTGGCTACATTCAAAAAGGAGAAATAATGTCTCAACTGAGCAATTGAAAACCTTGATTAAATACTTCCTTGTTTCTTGCAGTTGGAAAACATGAGCTAACTGGGCATAAAGTTGCTGTGAAGATCCTGAATCGACAGAAGATTCGCAGCCTTGATGTTGTAGGCAAAATCCGCAGGGAGATTCAGAACCTCAAACTCTTCAGGCATCCTCATATAATTAAGCTGTAAGTTTTGCTTACTGTAGTCAAACTTATTTAGGCAGTAATCTCTTTTTGCTCTCACTGGTCTAGAATGCATTTAAAGTATTAAAGTATAATACTACAAACAGTAGTGTTACTTATTATTTTAAGTATACTTATCTTCTCAGAAAAATAACCAACTTCAAAGTGTGCAGCTGTGCCCTCTGTGATGTGTTTTTACCAAGCTGGGCTTTATTGCAGGCTGGAGAGTTTCCATTAGATCTTTGCTTAGGCGTTCTTTGGCCAGGTGTATGATAGGTAGTTTCATGACAGGTACTTATGGTAGCAGTCATCTCTGAGTTTAGTGGCTACTTCATTTTACTTTTTCTGTTTATGTTTGTTCTTTTTTTTTTCCTGCTTGGAAAATGAGTTACTAAGAACAAGAGTGTAAAGGTCATTTCTATAGCAAGTTTATTGTATCTTTTCAAAGTGTTTTTAGTGATGTGCTGGTCATTGATATAAGTTTTTTCAGTGTAGGTGATGCTCCGCAAGATTTTTCTGAATAAAGGATGTAAAGTTTGATAAATCTGATTGCTATTTCTGAAATCTTCAGTGTAGTGACTATCCTTTGTCTAAATGTGGTATTTAAAATGTGCCTGATTACATCTCTTAGTTGATCAATAGTTCATCAGTGGATTTCAGAGTAAAGCTGTGTCCCAGAGTAGGCCCTCATGTCTCGTCTATGGTAATAAATCATAAGTAATGTTGATTTTCATTGACTCTTAATTTCCTGTTAAAATAATCTGCATTTTCAGAGTGTGGGTGACTTCCGCTGTCTTAGTCATGATGTGGGCGATTGTTTTATTGGTAGAATTTTGTCTAAAGACCCCACTGCCACTGGCAGATGCCCTGTTTCTGCACTCCCTTTAATTCAGCAACAGCTGTCACACTGAAGCTAAATTACTTTGTCTAAGGTCAACTCACCCACTTCTTCAGAAGGCGAGTTTTCAGAAGGCTGTTGAGCTGACTTGTCAGCAAAATTGCTAGTGCTTTTAGTTAATCTGTGAATGGGTCCAAAGGGCATACCTTTAGCCAGAGCAGAAGAGGAAGTGTCAGTGCACCAAGTGACATACCAGGGTGAAAGAGGAATGTGTGCTTGTGGTGTTGCTAAACTGAAGACAGTTTAGCAGATTTGAGATGACAATTTCTTTCTCAGGGAATCACAGAGAAAATTTTTTCTTTTGCATGTGAAATGCTGTAAAGAGAACAAATGAAACAATTTTTAGGTAAGGATATTAGAAAAAAAACAAAATCTCTTAAATTTTGATTTTGTCCTTAAACTTGTTATTTCAAAGCTTCAAAGCTATGTTTTTAAATATAATTGAAGTAGAATGATAAAAATATTACAACCAGATATTAATATTCATCGTTATTAAAAGGTATTTTTTCCTAGTCTTGAAGTACACCTTTTCATTTATGGCAAGTTAATTTTTTTGCATGTTAATATTGAAAACAGTCTATTTTTGCAATACTAGTCCTTCTGAAGTCCCTTTTCACCGCATCAAGGTGTTGGTGAGGCAGCACAGTCTTATACAGTCTTACAGTCTTAAACAATCTTAAAGAAATCACTTTTTCCTCTGAAAGAGCAAGGGCTGATATTCCTAATAGGGATTACAAATTTTCTGCTAGTCTTTGCAATGGTGGTATCACAGTAAAAGGAGAGTAAAAAGCTTCTGAAAAATATTGTCATTCCAGTAGCTGTAGATTGACTGATAACTATTTTAAAGTATATTTTTATCTGATTATTTGTATGACTTCAGCTTTAACTAAGTGTAACAACTGCTTTACTGAGTGTGTGGACTAATAGATATCTTTTCTTATCAGGTACCAGGTCATCAGTACACCCACTGACATTTTCATGGTGATGGAATATGTTTCAGGAGGAGAACTGTTTGATTATATCTGTAAAAATGGAAGGGTAAGAAGTAGTCCAGCTCTGCAAATCGGTGACTTGCATTCTGTTATTGCATTTGTCATGTTCCTATGTCACTCTACACTGAGGGGATAGACTTTTGGGTATCTTTTTGGCTATCTTTGTCAGAATGATACAATAAAAAGTTTTCATTTCTCAAAAGAATATTATAATTTGTGTTGCACAGGATATATGATTAGAGTGGCACAGGATTCCTGTGAGCAGAATGAATATGCTATAATTTATAAGTAGTGTAGTACTTTTTAGTAGAATTTTTAAACAACCTAACTTGGGATATCTCTTCACCTAGACCCTCTGTAGATCTGGTCAAATCTTAATACATATTTTGCTGTATCCATTTAACAATCACAGTCTAGCCTTGAAAGTCACAGGGATGAACACAAGTCACTGCGTCTCAGAGGAAGCAGAGGATGCTGGAGGTGTCTGTGGCCACTGAGAAGTCCCAGGTTTCATTTGCATTTAGTACTCATAATTGATGCTAAAGACATCAAACTCTGGCTGCTGTTGCAGTTCCGTATGCCATGACAGTCATCCATGGCTCTGTGCCTGAGAACTAAAGGCTGATAAAGCAGCAGATAATCAGCCTGGCACCCAGGAATCTTGAGGCTGGTAGGGAGGGGGAGAAGAAAACTGGTTTGTTTATTTGCTTCACAGGACCTCCAGAGCCTGATAATGAGGCAGAGGGCATGAACACATGACTTGCCTGGTCACAGAATGGCTGCTTGCCTCACTAAGTGGCATTAATTAAGTTAACCACATCATCATGGGCTGGGAGCAAGGGGTGCTGGTAACACCTTGTTAAATGTGGGTGTGTTTTCTTGTATTCGGTTTCAATTTGGCTGCTATCAATTAAAATATATTTTATGACTGTGGGGTTTTTTTTTGAAAGTACAAATGGTTATATGTTAACACATTCCAGATCTTTGTGTATGATTTTGTCATAGCATTCTTCCTTTCTACTAATCTGTTAATTTACAATGGGAATAAACCAGATGAATATGTACCCAGTTGGAGTAGCTGAAAACTGTTTCTTTAGTATATTCCATTATTAGAAAGCTACCATTGTCCCCTTATTACTGTCTTCTACTGTTAGAACAGCTTGTGTGAAAGATCTGAAGTCCCTATTTACAGACTAGATATATAGGATACTTCAGTTGCTGTGACAAACTGATATGGATTATGGGTCTTTGTAGGAAAAGCCCACCTAAGTCTGCTGTTTGGGACTGATAGCTGCTGATAGCATAAATAGTATCTGAAATATATAATTTCTGTGCTGCATTTCAGCAGCTTTGGCCAGCTTAAATCTTGCACTGTGCTTAAATATCAAACTAATAATACCAGTTATACAAAGCGAAATGTTTGAGTGCTAATATTTCTAGTTGGTGAGGAGGTAACATCTGCCAAACCCAATTTCAAGTGTCATTAAGAACTTTCAGTGACTTTCTGAGTAAGTGGGTATGTTTTGTTTGAGTCTCTTTACAGCTGTGGTACAAACAAAATGACTTAAGATATGAAGCTGCTTGCTATAAGTTCTGATAATCTGCTTTATAAAGTATCAGACGATAAGTATAATTGATAAGTTTAGGTCATAGGAAAGTTTCCTCTGGCTAGTAAAAATGAAAAAGAAGTTCACTTCCACTGTCTCTTAATTATTTAAATCTTTGTCTGTTTTAGCTTGACGAGAAGGAAAGTAGGCGTCTGTTTCAGCAAATCCTTTCTGGTGTGGATTACTGTCACAGGCACATGGTAGTACATAGAGATCTGAAGCCTGAAAATGTGCTTCTTGATGCACACATGAATGCCAAAATAGCTGACTTTGGTAAGTATTGCTTTATTTTTCTATCTGATTGCATTTCCGGTGTTAGAGCCTGTTAATAACAATAGGAAATATTAAACAAAGTATGTATGCTTTAATATCGTGGTGGTGGGATACAACAGAAGAATATGAAGAAAATAGATGTAAAGCAAAATAATGTTCTTGCGTATTTGCTGGACTTGTTTTCCTCTGAAGCTTTCTTGCTTTCTCTTGAGGTATTTTCTGTGACTGGCTGAAATTGTGAACTGATTCGTTTGGTTTCACTTAAGAATATTTTATCTAAAGTGCTAAGTAGACTTAGTTTGTGACCTTTCTTCTTCAAAACTCACTCCTTTTCTGTTTCACCATCTTTAAAATTTAGATGCTTAGCTCTCTTGGAAGAAGAGTGTATGGCAGTTCATCATCTTTAAGAAACTACGGTGCTATAGAAAAAGACTAGAAAATATATATATATATAAAATATAGAAAAATAGTAGTCCTCCTGATTTTTTATGCCAGCTGTTCATGACACAGCTGCAGAGAGGCATTGAAGCTAGGTCTTGGAACCATCTGAATCGGGAAACCTTACCACATAAGCATAGTAAGGTATCCATACTGCTGTGTCATGACTATATCTATCTTGTAGATATACTGGATAATACCTGCTTATGTAAGACTCCAGTGAAAGGTGTTAGGTAATGCTGAGTGTGTGAAGTATGTTTTAAAAGTATGGTGTTCAACTGTGTAGGCCCTGGCAATCATGTTGGTTTCTCAGGTGAAGAAAATTATTTGGGTGAAATGGCTCACATAGTAAATAAATGAAGTACAGTAACTTAAGAAAATATCTTCCTGTAACTTAGCGTCAGCAAAACTGTAACTCTCATTTTTTCCATGAGTGGTGTATTAAACAACAGCTTAATAAAAGCTTTTGTATGTCAGAATATGAAAGCTAGACAAGCTCTACTCTTTCCCTGCCACATTCCCTGCTGACCCATAAAAGGGCATAATTCTTCTTGGAGACTGAGTTCTTTGGTTTACGGTAGTCTTGATCATGCAGCCTCACTGAGGAAACTAGAAGAAATTTTCTACAGCTGTTAGTCTATACTGAGTGCTGGTGAGTGCAGTTGGCCTGGTTCTAAAGCATACTTCCATTGCTCACAGAGTATCTGAAAAGCAAACTACTAAACTGCAGAGATGTAGGAACCAGGTGCATAGTGTAGGGGTGTAAACTGTAGTGAAGTCATGTTTACTCCTCAGTTCCCTTCTTCTGTCTAACCTCTGGTAGCATTTCCCACTTTGTCATTTTAGAAGCCAAAATGGGAATTTTAGTACTTTCTTGTTAATGACTAAAATCCTTTCTTGCTATACTGCTTCATCTTCCTTAGAGCAACTTTGTTCTCTGTCATGCCTGTGATTTAACTGTTCTAGTCTAGGAATGAATATGTTCTCAAATATCCCTAGGCTGCAGGCAGTAATGGATTGATGTTACTCAGATTTCTGATAAAATATATGGAGGATTTTTGGCATGCTCATTTAAAAATTCCATAATTCCAAACAATACTATTACTTAACTGGAGTAAATTTGTTAATTTTCTAATTTGATTTGCTAGTGGTTTGTTCTAGGTGATATATGCAGTGTGAAATAATTTTGCTCCCTGAATTTTTAGTAGTTACTCTTATACACTTCCAGGTCTATCAAATATGATGTCAGATGGAGAATTTTTAAGAACAAGCTGTGGTTCCCCTAACTATGCTGCACCAGAAGTAATTTCTGGAAGGTAGTTTCTTTTATATTGGATACATGTATGCATGTACTTCAGTCATGTTGCTGCTTGGTTTTAAAGGGTACACAACTAGTTCAGTTGACAAGCTTGATGCTGAGAAACTGAGGGCTATTAGTGGTATTGATAATTTTTAAAATGTTTAAAGCTTCTGTGAAATAGCTTTGAATAGTTCCTGCAAAGTAGAGGTGATGTCTAATGCCCCAAATGCATTGTGTACACTCTGCCTGAATTGCATGTACAGCTCAGATCTTGGAAGCTGAGGTGCAGAGTTACAGGCAGAGTCTGCTGTGAAGTTGAGTATCATGCTGCAGAGTAGATACTCATTTTGGAGGTAACTTCCCATTTTGTAAACCATGGTTGTGTCAAATCTGCTTTCAGCTACCTATGCTAATATCTATTGCCTCTTGTTGATTGGAGGCCAGATGTCTCTTTTACTCTGGCAGGGGCACAGAATACATTTCATGGTCTGCTATATGGACTTGTCTTAAACTTTTCAGCCACAATTTGGGGGATAACTGACTTTGCACAGATTCCTCTAAAACATTGATAACAATATATAACATGGGCTTTCATAGCAGTAGATGCATGTTTCTTTCAGTAGTGCGAAATTGCAGTATAGATTATTGTTACACATTAGAGAGGAAAAACTCTTACTTGAGCCCTGTTATATATTAGAAGGGGAAGAATACTGAAGTTCAAGGGAGGCACAGCATAGAACTGAAATGGTGTAGTGCTTGCAAAATCAATTGTCCTGAGTTCACGTGCTTTTAATTACTGTGAGACAATGGGAAAATGACAGAAAACATATTTAAATGTATTAAACACAAGTCACTAACAATTATTTTTTTCACAGGTTATATGCAGGTCCAGAAGTAGATATTTGGAGCAGTGGGGTTATTCTCTATGCTTTGTTATGCGGAACACTTCCATTTGATGATGATCATGTGCCAACCCTTTTTAAGAAGATATGTGATGGTATCTTTTATACCCCTCAGTACCTGAATCCATCTGTAATTAGTCTTTTGAAGCACATGCTGCAAGTGGATCCAATGAAAAGAGCAACAATCAGAGACATTAGGTAAAACTCTTGCTGATGTCTGATCACAAGATGCTGGAATTACAATAGCACAAATATGCAGAACAAAGAAGTTATTCATACAGCTTGTTGATGTTTTCTAGACTGAGGTGAAAAATTCAGCTTGTGATGGGTTAGTTTTAGGTCTGATAGTCCTGATCTATAGTAGACAATGAAGTATCTATTGGAGATCATAGTAAAACAAATTATTTATATTATATATGGAAATTCTGAGACACTTTAGGTTTAAGACTGCCATAGCAAAGCTGTTTACTTGCTTAATGGTTTGCAAAAATTGCAATTTATAGACTTCTCTGGGGGAAGAAAATTGTCTTGCTATTAGGAACCAGTGCTCTCTACTGTAAATGTCTCTTTAATCTGATAACTGCTGCTTTTATTCATATTTCTTTAGGCTCTGGAAAGTTATTTGTTAAGACTGTGAATGTCACATGTAAGGCAACAATTTCTAGCTTCAAAGCACTGGCATGAATTTGTATATGAATGGTAATTACTTCACCAAGTACTGATAAGTTAAAATTTGTAGGTAGAGAGGCATCATGGGCTTCAGATTCCACGAGGTAATTCTGGAGAAGTTGATTGTGTTGACAAATGTGTGCTGGATCAAATTAAAAAGAAGTATCTGAGAGAAATGCATTTTATGCAGGAGCTTAATTTTCTTTGCAAGAAACTCTTAAGGAAAGAATGTTGCTATACTAAGATAGTGAAAATGCTGCTCCTTTCAGGGTTGGAAGTTAGGAAATGAGCAACCTCAGTTGTGTTAAATAAATAGTGTGTGGAAAAGAAGTGGTGTGATACAGATGTTGAAAAATGTTGGTTACAGAACATGGATGGAATTTGAATCTGAAACAGCTCTGTCCTATTACCCATATGACATGTCATCTCTCAGTTTAAAGGACAAACTGAGTTTAATTGAATATCTTAATTCTTCTAGGGGTTGTATGTATGTGCATGCAAGGGAGAAGGCCTGGTGCCATGAACAGTAACAATATTCCTCTGGGGTCAGTCATCCCAACTATGGCTGAGCCTTTGTTGTCATATGGGAAAATATTCTTCTGCTTCCAAATTAACTGTTTTTCTGATTAAACTGTATTTTGCTCAGCACATTTGTGCTGAGGCACAGTGTTCTCAGGATCACACTGAGTAGAGCTTAGTGCCGTGTGCTGGTTTGGGCTGGAATAGAGTTGAATCTTTTCACAGTAACTGCGTTTTGAATTTGTACTGAAAATAGTCTTGGTAACAGGTGGATGTTGTAGTTACTGATGAGCAGGGCTTGAACAGAGCCAAAGTTTTTTCTGCTTCTTACACAGTCCCATCAGAGCAGGCTGGGGATGCACAAGAATTGTAAGGGGATACTGCTGGAGCAGCTGACCCCAACTGAGCACAGGCATATTCCATACATATGGGGTCATACTCTGCAGCAAAAATTAGAGGAAGGATGATGGGGCTGGTCTGCTGGTCATCAGACATTATGTGATGAGCAGGTTTTTTTTGTCTGCATTACTTGTCTTTCTTGGGTTTCCTTGCCACCTCTCTTGTGGCTTTTTTTGATTTTTTTTTTTTGCTTAGAATTTTTTAAATAAAATTCTAATTATCGAATTGTTTCTATCTCAACTCTCAAGTTTTTTACACTTCTACTTTTCTGATTCTGCCCCTTGTCTCACTGGAGAGGACCAAGCAAGTGGCTGTGTGGTGCTTAGTTGCTGGCAGGGGCTAAACCATAGCAATCCTGTTTGATTCTCAGTGTGGGGCTTGAAGGTGTTGAGATGAAGACAGATTTGAACAGAGCATATTAGATAAAATAATTATACATTCTCTCTGTATAATAGTTGTTCTTCAGAATATTGATTTTTCTGTCCTGAATATTGATTCATCTGATCTCTTCCATGTTCCATTTTTTGCTGTACTTGTTGGAGATTTGGGGTTTTTTTTGCAATTTGCTGGGCTATGTAGTGCTTATTGACTTTTTTGGGGGGGCAGGGGCATTGGGATTTTTTTGTTTGGTTTGTTTTTGTTTTGTATTTTTTTTTTGGTTTTGGGTTTTTTTGTTTTGTTTTGGGGTTTTTTGTTTTGTTTTGGTTTTTTTGGTGTTTTTTTGAGGGTTTTTTGCGTTTTTTTTTTTTTTTTTTTGTTTTGGGTTTTTTTGTTTGTTTGGTTTTTTTTTTGGTGTTTTTTTGAGAGTTTTTTGCGGTTTTTTTTTTGTATTAGAACATTGGCCTTGAGCTTAATCTGGTATTTGGGCTCTGTACTGAAGCTGTGACTGTCCTTTGAATACCATCTCAGGGAGACAATTAACAATTATATATCTTTGTCCAAGATGTCTTTTCCATGGAGCAAATACAGAATGGCACCTTTGCTACATTCTTCTGTGATGTTTTCTCCCTCATTGCCATAACTTCAGTATCTTGAAAATCCTTGGGCTGGATTTCTACTGGTATTTCTTAGGAGCATGGTTTAGACTTTGGAAAATTGACAAGATATTTTGGAACATCTCCTAGGCCTCATAGCAGTGTGCTTATGGGTGGTAAGGCACATGGGAGAGAATGTGCAGGTAGGACAAGATAGAAATGGCATTTGATCATGAAGTAATAGAATGTTTGAAAGAAAGATGCTTTTGCAAGGGGCCCTGGCTTATAAACACCATGCTGGGACATGGCCTGTTCCTATTGAACACTGCTCAATACTAATCAAGGAGCAGAGGGGATTTCTGGGTCTAAAAACATTAACAGACACTTCAGCCAAGAGAGAAACCCAGCTTTCAACTATATCACTTGCTCCTATAACTAAAAATAAACAACCAAAGAAAAAGTAATCTCGTTTGGTCAGGAATGAAGAAGCTTCTAGGAGGGAACAGGAGAGGGAATCAGCAGGATCAGCTCTTTCTGCAGCAAAACAGTCACAAGAACAGGAGGAGGAAGGTACTGAAATTTTAAATGAGAAAGTAACCGCCTGATTCCTATCCCTAAGCAATTTGTGAGATAACAAAAAACATTTTTTTCAGTTTCCTGCAAAATGTCTAGTAAAATCTTGTGCAGGCAGTTATTACTTTATGTACTGTTTTATTGTCTGTGCTACAAGGGGTCTTGGACTGGCAACCATTATTCTTTCTTCCAGCACAGACTAAAATTCACTTTATATTTTAAAGGAATTCCTGTTATAAATGTTTTCTTTACTAACATATACTCAGAATTTTTTATTTTTAAATCTAGGGAACATGAATGGTTTAAGCAGGATCTTCCAAAATACTTGTTTCCTGAAGATCCATCATATAGCTCTACCATGATTGATGATGAAGCCTTAAAAGAAGTGTGTGAGAAGTTTGAATGCACAGAAGAGGAAGTGCTAAGTTGTCTGTACAGCCGAAATCATCAGGACCCTCTAGCTGTTGCTTATCACCTCATTATAGATAACAGAAGAATAATGAATGAGGCCAAAGACTTCTACCTGGCCACAAGTCCACCAGATTCTTTTCTGGATGATCACCACCTGTCTCGCCCTCACCCTGAACGAGTGCCATTTTTAGTAGCTGAAGCACCACGTCCTCGCCACACCCTTGATGAGCTGAATCCACAGAAGTCAAAACACCAAGGTGTAAGACGGGCTAAATGGCACTTGGGAATACGGAGTCAGAGTCGACCAAATGATATCATGGCTGAAGTTTGTCGAGCAATTAAACAACTGGATTATGAATGGAAGGTAACAAAATAGAGGACCTTTACAGCAAACAGCAATGCACTTTGGTTTGAGTGGTGTAGTTACATAACCCAGACATCTGAAACTCTTTTTATATTCTGGCATTAATCTCATGTGCCTGTGCTGTGTTTGCTGTGCCAGAAGGGTTTTGGGGAGAGAATATACGTGCTGGCAGGAAAAAAAAAAATTTCTCTTGGGGCTGCAGGAATATATTTCTCTTGACTAAAAAAACCCCAATAACCCTCAAATCCAACAGCTAATGAAGTCTGAAATCACTTGATAAATACTAGTGAGTTGAGAGGATGAAAACAATATGCAGTGATTTTCAAGCAGTTCTGATTAACTGAATCAAATGTCTTTCATACTAGGTTGTAAATCCATATTATCTGCGTGTTCGGAGAAAGAATCCAGTAACAAGTGCATATTCCAAAATGAGTCTCCAGTTGTATCAGGTGGACAGCAGAACATACTTACTGGACTTCCGTAGTATTGATGGTATGTGAAGAATTATTTAAGTTAATTGAGTTGTCGGGGAAATCATTCTACTTGCAAACATGTATTTATTTACTTATTTACAAGTGAAATAAGTGTTGCCCTTTTTTTATTTTAAACCAATCTAACCTGTATTAGTGTTTACTTATTCCTTCCTGGATTAGTGTCCCTGTGACATGTGCTTAGCTGCTGCATCCCATTTGCTTTTTTGCTATATCAGCTCCTGGGGAGCTCCATTTTTTGTCTGCATCAGAACTAATACCAGTAGTGCAAAAGAGGACTGGATTGTTGGAGGTGAGATTGGGACCAACTTAAGCTGCCTTTGGAGCCTCACCCCAAATTTAAACATTAATTTAGATCTGAAGTAAGCATGTGAACAGTGTTTTCTAGTGAAGATAAACATGACATCTAGGCATTTAAATTTGACTTGGACTGTGCCTCACTGTACTGGGTCTGACTGAGATGGAATTAATTTTCTTCCTAGCAGCCTACATGGTGCTGTTTTGGATCTGTGACAAAAACAGTATTGATAACTGTTTAACTGATAAACACTCACTTCTGCTGAGTGTTGCTTGGCAGCACTGGCATAGTATCCAGCCTTTCTTTTTCCATACTGCTGTGTTGGAAGGGGAGCAACAGCTCTGCAGAGCTGAGCAATATTGAAGAGATGGATGTTCAATGCTGTATTATGTTATGCCTCGAAAAGAAAGGGCTTTTGGGGAAGGTAACCTTGAGACTGGGCATCAGTCTGCTTTGGAGATAGTGAGTGGTTGCCTTTGAATCACCTACCCCCCCACCCCAAGACCATGCTTAAAATTCTTTATTTGCCCTTCCAATATTCTTCCCTTTGCGCTGAGATACCAGCTGCGAGGCAAAGTTAACCATTCTACTAGTAGCTAAAATTTGAGGTAGGAGTTTTATGCTTGCAGGAACTAAAATCTTGAAAGTATATAGTTTAATGTGTACAAAAATATATTTTATGGAGTGACAGTAACACAGTATACAAAGCCTGGTTAGGTGAAGTGAGCATAGGAGCTCACAGAGACTGAACACTTGTTTATGGGCATAGTAGGCTGAAAGAAAATGACCTACAGCTACTGATATAGATGACATACCTAGGAAAACATTGCATGCAAAAAAGGAATTTTTTTTGGCTGCTTAGAGCCATGCAGCTGTGGCAGGGCAGCCTGCTACAATCCTGGTTTCCACTTTTGAGGAAATACGACCCAAAGGCACAGATTTGTTGTATCTCTTCCAGTAGTTAAACTGATTTGACATTCCTTCTCTCTGCCATGGTTAATGGTTCTTTGTTCCTCTTAACAATTTGTAAATTTAAGTAACTTTGTGCGAACAAGAGATACTGCCTTTTCACTGATTTCTCCTGAAAGAATTTTTCAGGAGCCAGCTTAGAGCCAAGTTAATGTTCAGTATTTAAAATAAGAATAGAGATATTATTAATATGAAACTATTTTCTCTTCATACTGAAGGTAAAGACAAGTTGCTGCAGCCTGAATATACATGGTATGGTAAAAAAACTTTCAAAAGAGAATAAATGATAAATAAATGAAAGTATAATGTTGTAATGAATTATCATAAAATACAAATAATCACAATATATAAATACCCAAAAGAGAGTAAAAATAGTATAAAAATGAAGTAGATTGTAGAAAAAACATCTGAAAACTGCTATTGAACTTAATCTTATGATGCTGACCTGTTTTTGTTTTGAGTAACCTAAATTGAACAATTGGCTGATGAAAATCAGTTCATGAAAAATACAATTAATATTAGTCTGAACTCAATGTAAACAGTCTTGAAGTATAGTTCAGAGCACAGAAAGAATTAGCGTAAGAACATTGGCTGTTGTGCTACTATGTATACAAGCTTTTATTTTGTATCAAATGCTGCTTGCAAAAGCTGTTCATTTATCAATCAAGATTTTAAAAACCAAGATTTTGAAGTGTGAGAAGGGGAAGATATTTGCTCTTCCCAGAAATGATTTGATACTGGTACCAAATTTTCCTCTTCTCTTCCCTTGTTCCAGATGAAATTGCTGAAGCGAAGTCTGGGACTGCTACTCCACAGAGATCAGGTTCTGTGAGCAACTATAAATCTTGCCAAAAAGATTCAGATGCTGATGCTCAAGGGAAATCTGCAGATACATCCCTTACCTCATCAGTGAACTCTTCGCTTGACTCTTCCACAGCTGACGTAACTCCAAGACCAGGGAGTCATACCATTGAGTTTTTTGAGATGTGTGCAAATCTTATTAAAATACTTGCACAGTAATTTTGAAGATGGGCTTATTTCTTTTAGAGCAATAAGCATGCCTAAATCATAGTCAGATGCTTCCAATTATAATCAAGTGAAATTAACTAAGGCGCTGAAAAAGCTAGCCACAGAATGCAATTTGCATGGGGATAAAATTATTATAGGCAGTTATTATGTATTATTTTGAAGCTGGAGTGAATTCTGGTTGCCTGCTGTCCAATAGCATGACAGGTACAGGAAATAACATGCCCTTTGGGTAGTGTTTGTAACATTTTACCTTGAGTGCAAAATAGGCTGCCTATAACATTTAAGCTAGATGGACCTCCTTGTTTTTTATCTAGTTACACATGTATCTGATGCACTGTAAGTTAACATACACGTACTAGTTCTGTGATCTCAGTATGATTTGGTCACCCTCTGCAGTTGTGACTCACACCTATCAGCATCTCCTAACAGATGTTAATGTGTTAAAACTGCTATGTTTCTTCCCCCTTATATGATAAAAAATAATAAAGAATGCTGTGATGTGTTACAATGTACTACTTTTAACAATAAGTGTTATTAAAGGTATGCAAAGCTGGCCAGTTGGAAATGTGTAGCTGCTCTGTAATGAATTGAGAGTCAACATTCTGTGGACAGTGAGTAGAATGACTGAGTCCATAACAGTGATAGGAGACTTAATGCTGAGAAGATGTGGCATCCCATGGGCTAAACCAAAATGTTGCTTTGTGGAGAAACTGTGAGGAAGCTCCTCCTTGTCTGTACATGTTATCTTAGTGTGGTGGCAGCACAGCAGCTCCGCACTGCTATTGCAGACCGAGAATGCTTTTCCGTAGAAACATGTCCCTGTAGTTAAGAGCAGAGCCTGAGGGCTGTTTCATACTATTCCAGAATCTGAAATTTACAGGTTTTTGACATATATGTTCACACTTTGATACAGCTGGTTATCACGATAACTTATACTATATAGTATTCAGTATGAAGTGAAAACCACATACACAGGTTTCTAATTTTTCCCAGGCAACCTCTATAGGAAACTTAATTATTTAATGTGATTGAATTAAATAGTGTAACTTTTCAGTTGAGCATTGAAAACTGATCATGACAACTTGAGTGCTAGAGTTTTTAACTGTAGATTGCAATTACCCATAATAAAAGTCCTGCATTTATGGTTTTTGTAGCATTTCAGGAAAAAACCTGAACTTTGTATGTTAAAATCACAGGTAGTACTTGCATGAAAACCTTTAGTCTCTTTGAATTGGATATAATTAGCCATGATTCCGTTTTCATCTGGCACTTAGCAGATATCAACAGTCATAAAGTACTTAGTTTTGCATTCAAGTCTTCATGCTTGCTTAAAAATAATATTCATGACCTACATAGTTTCAAAGGCTGTTCCCCCAGGAAGAGACTGGTACTCCAGGCATTACTATGAGCAGTGAAACCTGGACTCTTCACGTGGATGAAAATTTTTGCCAATGGCTGAGATTTTATCCATGGGAAACTGCTAGGTACAGATATAGGAACAATTTAAATCCTGGCCAGCTGGCTGCAGCTTAGAAATTCACATGCACAGAATCTGAAGAAACATAAGGCTGTTTTGAAGCCCCTGAACTGCTGTAACTGTGTTTTGAACTGGGTGATTGTGAGGTCTGTCTCATAGGTGGGTACAAGTTTACAACTTCATTTTTTTTTATCCTCATATGTCACAGATGGTCCCTGTAGTGATGTTAGCTGTATCACTGTACCTTAAAGTGGAAGATTTTCCAAAGTGGAAGTTAGTATCAGAAGTTGAAACCCAAAACTTTAAGATGCCAATGTGAGGGACCAATTGCAAATCCTACAAAGATGTTCTGTCTTTAGTTTTGTACAAATTGGTACCAATGTACTGAATAAATCAATGTGTTCATTTTTGTTACCCTTTATTTTGGAATTAAATATTGCACTTGTATAAATACTACAAACGCACAGGTTTTTAAATTGTAGCAATTCCTCATCTGGAATTGGTTTGGGATCACTTGCATATATTGAACTATTTATAAATGCTGTCTTCTCCTTGTAATGTTGACAACACATGCAAGGTTTAAAGATGCAAAGTAGTTCTTTATTTTATATACTTTTTCAGCCCTTTAAGACACAACCCTGCTTTGTCCTTGGTTTTGGTATCAGGAGGTTAAAGCAAGTTTCTGAAAGAAATGTACAATATATGTAGTTGTAAATAAAAGTGCATTTTTATGGTAGATCAATTTTGATGGCCAAAGGTTTTATGATTGAACTGAGATTTTTATAGGGAGGGGGAGGGGTAGAAAGGGGCACTAAAAACCAAGTTGAACCCAGTTGCCTGTTGTGTGACTTTCGAATGCTTTGTAGATCTTGCTGTTGAAATTGCTTTCTTCACATGTTCCTACTGATCTTGCAGACCTTTAGGATTGCACTTGAAGCTGGCAATAGGCTGTGAAATGAAATTTCACTGAGAGAGCTGCCAGAGTTGTAAGGCAGCTTATGCAGATACACTAACTGGTAAAGCGTGTTACTCTGTATTCCCCACTTACTCCTGTTGGAGTATGATGAGTTTCCTTGTCTTTGTGTTGTAATTTTTTTCAGAATCTGGGCTGTCCGTGTGCAAGATAAATCACTAGGTAATGGATAAAAATTCATTTTGGTGGTGCAATATGAAGAAAAAAAGTTCTTTCATGTTAGTCTTGATACAACTGTTTAATACCAACTTCAAGCTAAATTTTATTTTACCAGTTGATTACCAGTGTAAGACACAAAGTCCTGTTCTTTAACAAAGATGTGCCTACTTCCTGTTAATTTCTTTTGACAAAGCTGAATGGCAAAAATGCTTGTTTCTACCTGTATAACTTTTTAAACTTTAAAAACTAAGTAAACATGAAATACTGAACCATCTTGTTTGAAACTGTGTGCTTGCTGTTTTCTAGTGCTATATATAAGTGGACAAGAACTGTTACTCTCATTTCAAAAACAACAGCTGTTATAATTACAGAAAAAGCAGCAACGTGACAAAAATGACAGCTGGACAGGCTGGTGCACCAGCTGTGCTCGCCAGATCCGACTGACCCTTTCCCTCTCGATCTTGTAAACTCTTGCTGCAGAAAAAGAATTTGTGACGGAACAAACCCTGACCACGTCTTTTAAGCCCCTGTGGTGATGTGCCTCCTCTCGCATCTTCACTCAGCCTTTCCCTCACACCACGGATGGGGCTTTGCAGGGACCAGTTTTAAACACTGCCGCCTTGCAGTTTTAAACCCTGTCTTCTCTTTTTGTTGAGTTTTTTTGTTTGGTTTGTGTGTTCACTTGGATTTTTTGTGGGGGGGGGAGGGGTTAAGTTTGTTTGTTTGGTTTGAGTTTTTTTGTTGTTTTGTGTTGGCCTTTTAAAATGCTTTCGGGGTTTCTTGGGGGGTGGTGGTTTTTCTTTTGGTTTTGGGGGGTTTTTTTGTCTTTTTTTTTTTGGTTGGTTGGGTTGGGTTGGTTTTTTTTGTTGGGTTTTTGTTTTTTTTTTTGGGGGGTGGGGGTTTGTTTTGTTTTGTTTTAGTTGTGGTGGTGGTTTTTTTCAGTGTAGAGGAAAAAGCCGTGCTTGTGAGCCTGGGTCACTTCTCTTTAGGGGACTTCCCGGCCGGAGCCGCCTCTCCGTGGTGGGTGCCGCTGTCCCAGGGCGCAGTCGGTACACGGTGGGGACATTCCTCCGTCCCGTACCTTTCCCCGTGTGACAATCGAGCACCACGAGCGGTGGCACTCCCAGTATTGGCTGTTTTGTCCCCGCCGGCCCCGCTCTCCACCGCTGTCTCATACGAGCAGGGCCGGGGCCGCCAGGCCCCTCACGGCTTTCAGGCGGCCCCGCCGCCCCGCGCCCGGGCGAACTACGGCTCCCGGCTATCCCTGCCGCCGCCGGGGCCACGGGCACTGCCGCTGCCCTTGCTCCTTCCTGCTCCTGCCCGGTTCCTGCCGTGCCGCCCCGCCTTTCCGCTTCCTGCCGCGGCGCTTCCAGCCGGGAGAGGCGGCCGGCGGCAGCGCCAGGTAGCGCCGTGGGCGTCGGGGCTGTGCGTGCCTGAGGGACAGCGCCGGTGCAGCCGATCGCATAAAGTCTGTGTGGGGGAGTGCCGCTCTGTGCTACTGCTTTGGCTTCGTGATGAGCGAGGGGTGATTTTCCTGCTGTGTCCTCAAAAGCAAAATTACCTAACTATTTAAAATGCCTTCTTCCTAGTTCTCCAGATGGCTTCTTTTGGGTGGAAGAGGAAGATTGGCGAGAAGGTCTCAAAAGCTACTTCTCAGCAGTTCGAAGCAGAAGCTGCGGATGACGAGGATCTGGGTGATGATGATGATGCTAACTGGGTGCTCGCAGCTAAGAGAAGAAAGGAAGTTCTCTTAGAGGATTGTGTAAGGAAAAGTAAGGCGCTCAAGGACGAAGGTGCAAATTTGGCTGAAAATAGGAGGTACTAATGTTGTCTTGCTCTTTTTTCATTGACTGAAAACTGCTGCATGGTATTTTAATCTCTTCTCTAAACACTAGTAATTTGCTAGTATCTGCATTGATAGTTTTCATAATTTGAAGAGTAATAATTTCTTTCATTACGCCTTTATTGTCAGGTACTAAATAAGTTTTCATCTTTGGTGGTGGTGTCAGGGAAACAAAGTGTGTATTCCACCTTATTTTTGCATGTTCTCACAACAACAAAGGTTGCCACGTGGGGTGTAGTGATCATGAAATTAGAGTTCTCAATATTTGGTGAAATCAGGAGGAACATCAATAAGACTATTACATTGGACTTCCAGAGGGCAGACTTTGGCCTATTTAGGAGACTTATTTAGAGAGTTCCTTAGGAAGAACAGCCCTTAAAAACAAAGGAGTCCGTCCGCAAAAGAAAACAAAGGAGAGGTGGGCGTGCTTTAAAACAGAGATCTGGAGGGCTCAGGAAAAGGCTGTCCCTGTGTGCTCAACGATGAGTCAAGGAGGCAAACATCCAGACTGAATAGGAATTTAGGAATAGAAAGACAATTTATCATCTTTGGAAGGAGGTTCTGGTCTCTCTCTCAGGAAGTATTTAGGAGGGTTACTAGTGCATGTAGAAAAAAAACAAACTAGGGAGGCCAAAGCTCAGTTTGAACTTAATTTGGCAACTTTGGTGAAGGATAATAAAAAAAAGTTTTTACAAATGCATTAATGGCAAAAAGGAAGGGTAAGACCATCCTTTGTTCTCTGCTGGATATGGGAGGGAACTTTGTAACTGCAGGTGAGGAGAAGGCAGAGGTTCTTAACGCCTCCTTGCCTCATCCTCTAGTGGGAAGATGGCTTGTCTTCAGCACAGCTGTCCTGGGTTGGTATATGGTCTCAGGGACCAGAATGGTTATGCAGGAGGAGGCAGTCAGAGAACTGCTGAGCTGCTTGGATGTTCATAAATTCATGGGACCAGATGGGATCCATCCCAGGGTGATGAGGGAGCTGGCAGATGAGCTTGCCAAGCTGCTCTCCATCATTTACCAGCAGTCCTGGCTCACGGGTGAGATTCCAGAGGACTGGAAGCTGCCCAATGTGATGCCCATTCACAAAAAGGATTGGAAGGAGGATCCTGGTAATTATAGACCAGTCAGCCTGACCTCAGTACCTGGTAAGGTGATGGAACAGTTTGTATGGAGTGTCATCATACAGCACCTACAGGATGGCCAGGGTATCAGACCCAGCCAGCATGGGTTTAGGAGGAGTAGGTTGTGTTTGACCAGCCTGGTCTCCTTTTATGACCAGGTGATGACCTGCCTGGTGGATGCAGGAAAGGCTGTGTACATTGTGTATTTGGACTTCAGCAAGGCCTTTGACACTGTCTCCCACAGCACACTCCTGGAAAAGCTGGCAGCCCATGGCTTGGACAGGAGCACTCTGTGCTGGGTTCAGAGCTGGTTGGATGGCCGGGGCCAGAGAGTGCTGGTGAATGGAGCTGCATCCAGCTGGCCTGGAGAAAAGGACACTCAGGGGTGACCTTATCACTCTCTACAGCTCCCTGAAAGGTGGCTGTAGCCAGGTGGGGCTTGGACTCTTTCTCCAGGCAGCAACTGACAGAACAAGAGGACACAGTCTCAAGCTGTGCCGAGGGAAATAAATGTACGTTGGATATTAGGAAAAAGGTTTTTTTATTAAAAGAGTGGTAAAGTACTGGAGAGGTCTGCCTGGGGAGGTGGTGGAGTCACTACCCCTTGATGTGTTTAAGAAAAGACTGGATGTGGCACTCGGTGCCATGGTTTAGTTGAGGTGTTAGGGCATGGGTTGGACTCTTGATCTTGAAGGTCTCTTCCAACCTAGTGATTCTGTGATTACAGAAGTTGAGAGATGAAAAACTGACTGGATATGAAAGGGTAAATAGGATGCAGGGTGATAAGCCATACCATAAGTAATACTTTAGCCACTCTTGAAAATGTGTCTTTTTTCCCTTACTGAGAGTGAGCCTGTTTGCCTGTGCACAGTGCCCAGGCAAATGCTGCTGAGCATCTAATGCACTGTTAATTGCCTAGTGCTTTGTTAAGTCAGGTACAGGGAGCTGCTGTGAGTGCCCTCTGAGTATTGGGAGTTTGCCAGTTCTGGAAGCATGTTGCAGGTGTGCTTCCACTGTCTTGTGCTTCAAACAGGAAGTCCTTTTGGAGTCAAGGTGTGTTAGAAGAGGGAGAGGTGGACTATAAGTTGTATATTAACTACATAATTTGGCCAGATCTTCACTGGAGGGGGAAGAAACAGTTTAAAGGGACAGGGTAGTCCCTTTAAAATCTTTAGAATTCTTTGACAAAGCAATTTTTTATCATTTTTTTAACTTTTAAGAGCGTCTTTATTGTCCCAGATCAGAGGTATTATTTTCCTGGTAGAAATATCACCAAGATGTCAGTAGGTGCTCCTGTCTCTTAAGCTTTTTGTCTTAAGAAGTATCATGCTAAAAAAGGGTTCCCTGGGCAATGTGGAAGAGAGAACAACTTGGAAGTTTAATGCAGGCAAGTTTATATATCATAATAAACATACTGTGAGTATGGTTGGGTCTGATTTAAAAAAAAAGTAATCAATAAATACAAAATCTCTCGGAGAACAGGCTTATTTTCAAATATTTAAATACAGTTTCCTCTTTGAACTGGTCACTCAAATAGTGACAGTGTTCAGTGAGTGACTGTTGTGTTCCTGAGGCTTGTAATTACTGAATAAAATTTTGAAGCCTTTTAAAGTTGAGTTTAAATTAAAACCAAGTTCAACTTCATAAGTTTTAAGCATCCTGCCATTGTATTAATCAATAGATTTAATGCAGTAGTTGCATAAATGAATTACATTAATGCGTAAATGAGTTACATTAATATTAATAATTAAAAACACAGAGTGTACAAATTAGTCAATTAACATCTCTGTTTTTAACACCAGAAATAAATCATAGATTGATCTACAGAAAGGTAAATCCATTCTGTTCTTTTAGGAATACAGAGATTGCTGAATATTTTTATCTAATCTTGTATCTTTAATACATCTATATACTGTACTATATTAAACAGATTGATTTTTTTAAAATTTATTTCTGTCTTCAGTTATATATATGCCTTCCTTGTATTTTGCTTTGGATGTTGTATATCTTTTCTCTATGCTCTTTTTTGATTTTTGGTGTATTTTTTAAAGTGTGGTAAGTCTCTTGACAGAGAGTGGCAGATATTCTGTTGTAGTTGTGGTTTAGGGCAGGGACATACTGAACAGCAGATAATTTTTGATGCTTTTAATATCTTCACTTGGTCTTAGAAACTGAGTTCTCGATTGCCTGTCAGTTAGAAAAAACAATGCAAAAACTTCACTCATCCATAAGTAGCAATGTAAGCATTTTTTGTGAATTTAGGGAGAACTGTCTCTCATTGGAAGTGCTTATGAGAACTACT